GGGAGAACACAGTACGCAAAGGAGTGACGATGAGCGCCTGGATGCTGCTGAAGGCGCCACCTACATCGGTGTCCTCGCTCCCTGGCTCTCCCCTCCATGCCTGTCCTTGCCTTCTCTTACCTGTATCTGCTCTGGGTCAATAAACAGTCTTCCCACCAGTCTTCGTAGGAAAGTCTGGACTTCAGACCAGGGGTAGATGCTGTTGGAGCCATCCAAGACAATGACAACGTCCATGTATGTGGGGCAGCCTAGGAGGAGGGATGTGGTGATGCAGAGCAGAGGGCTGCAGGATACTGGGCATGAGGGCAACAGGGAAGAGGTCACGGGGGGCACGTTCAATCTAAACATTTATTAGGCACTTCTGTCATGCAAGGAAGGCAGGATGCCAGGCCCTGGGTAGATGTAGAAATGAATAAAAGAGGAGATGGGCATCCATGCAATTTACTAAAAAAGGAAGAAAAAGAACTAAGCATTAGGTAGGGGCAGAGCACCACTCCGTGCTGTGGGGGGGCAAAGGGGGCTAGTGCTAATGGTGGGGTCAACGGGGGCGGCAACTGGAAGATTCTGAAGACAAGATGTGTGAGGAGGGCACAATATAAGAAAAGGCATTTGGGTGGAGAACCCTTTGAACAAAAGGAGATGGAGGTACAAAAATAGATGACGCATTGGAGAATGGTGAGGTGAATGCTGTAGACAAGGGCGTGGAGGGATGTAGTGAGAGCTGAGTTTCTGAAGTTGGTTCGATCAGCTCGTAGAGTCTTAATGCCCTGGTGGAGTCTGAATTCTAATCTGTTAGGAAGCACGGAACTCACGCAGACACAGTAGGAAGCAGTGAGGATACACGCAGGCCCCGTCAAGCATTATACCCTGATGTCTCGCCCTTTTCCCATCCTGCACCCGGTTCTGAGGACTGAACCCTCAGGCCCTTCTTCTGGCTTACGTTGTGCAGTGGGTGCCAGGCTCCCCTGGGGCCGGAATGAAGCATCTACGTGAGCACATATTCCAGAACTGAAGACAGATGAACCGCAGGCACGAGACCAGAGAGGGGCACAGGCCTGGAGACAGGTGGGAGACATAGTTACTCCCAGGTTGGAAGGGCAGCCTCAGAACATGCTCCTAGTAGAAGGAGGTACTGAGACCACTCCCTGAAATTCCCCCCTCCCCCCGCTTACTTTATAGGGTTTTTAACCCCTTGAACCCCTCCACCTAGACCAGTTTCCCTTACCATGCTGCTCTTTTCTCTGCCACAAACCTTCAGAGACCCTTCCACCACCCTTTCCTTAGCTCACCATGAATCCCCCATCACCATCTGTCTCTAGTAGAGACATCCCCAAGTGCATATTCACAGCAGGATGAGATGAATTTCCCAGTGGATAGTCACCTGGTTGGAGGAAGGGTAGAAGAGAATGAGATCATGGGGTCACAGATGGGGTGCTTGAATTCAGGGTGATTTTGGAAAAGTATGAGAAGAGATCAGGATCAAGTCAGGGACAGGGAGTATGTGGATACGGGGGTAAAGGTGAGGTATAGGGGATCAAAGTTACTAGCATATGAAGGTTAGGGGTTAGGAGTGAGGCATCTTCTTACCCAGGTGGCCCTTGGCACATGGGGCACTGTGGGAGCCCCCTACAGGGCAGCGGTAAATGTCTCCCCTTCGGTCACCTGAAGGCCCATCCCAGGGGGCACCCACCAGCATCCTGGGGAAGGCATGAATATACGCACAGTGTGAACATGACCTTTGAGATAGGCCAGAGGGTAAGTGCATGGGGATGGCAAATCTAGAGGCCCAGCCACTTCCAAAAGACCAGATTCGTTTAGAGTCCCATCTACCTTGCCTCCCCTTTAACAGTTCTGTCAGTCCCAGTCCCATGGCCCTCTGGTTCCCTCCTCACCATCGCTGTCCACCCCCAACATGTTGTAAAACACTGTATCCAAATTCAGCCTCCGGTGGCCCTGGGAATAGACGTGGGCGATGAGCATCCAGGTTAAAGGGGGAGCAGATACCTGGGGGCCAGGATCATAGGTTAGCAGGAAGCAGTTAGAGAGGCTGATGAATGTCCAGAGAGGCACAACCAGAGAGCAGCTGAGAAGGAAATGTTTTGCTCTAAGTCTGTCTCTCTGCTTAATACTCATAAGCGGTCCTGGCCTCTGTCAATGTCATGTACTCAGAGCTCCAAGCAAGGATGATCTTCCTGTATGTGGTCCAGCTGTCTGGCCTGTGGCCCTCTGCCATGCTAGTACACAGCTGTATTTCCATTCCAGCCCCTGAAATCTACTTTACAGACATGTCTGGTTGAGTTCCCTTTCCCACATCGCTCCTCCTACACATCTTCCTCCACAAGCCGTGAGGGTTAAAAGAGGGAGAGACACTGTCTGCAGCCCCAGAACTGCCATTCCTTTCAAATTCTCCCCAAAACCAGGGCATAGGGGGGACGGAGGAGACAAAGAAACACTGAATGTCTGGATCTCTCCCCTTCTCGCCTCCCAGTGTCACTGTTACATGCTCACTTTCATTCTTCAAAGTCTAGGTCTCTGGTTCATTCCAGCCTTGGAAACCTCAGTGGTAATTAACTGGGTGGGGCCAGTTGCCTGCCCACACACATGGTTTGCCATTCATCCTCAGCAAGGGTCTCTTCACCCTAAAGTTTCCCAGAACCAGCATCCTTTCTAAACCCCACACCCTTCCAGCTGCCCCCTGCATTTCTTCCTTAACTCTCGACCCACTCTAAGGACCCCCCCCAGTCATGTTCTGGCTGATTCTTCCCTCCCATCGCTTTAAAAATCAGGGCTGGTATTTTAGGAAACGAAGATTACAGGGCACTGGTGAGGAAAAATTCCAGGCCTCTGGTCTCTCCCATGGTTCTTTCCCTGACTGTGGTTTGCTCCTTCCTTTCAAGCAACCCCCTCTTAGGCCACCCCACTACCACTACCACCAATGGCTATAGCGCTGTCTCAAACCATGCTCATATCAAAAAGGTGTTTTGTATGTGAGCCTTTTTGCATCCAGGAAGATGGCAGGGCTGTATGACTAGCAACTGTCGCTCATTGGCTAGAAAAACCCAGAGTTGTGACTACACAGTCGGTTATGCCTCAGGCCCCAGAGACCACCAATGGTAGGGAGAGGCAGGGAGGGGGTAATTAGGAATCAAAATAGCCACGTGGAAGGTCACATCATGTTCCTTTTTGGTCCCCTAACTTCTCCAGAGCTTAGGACACAGGTTTTAGATAACTGAACTCAAATCTTACACAAGGCCCTGCCAATCTCAACACTGAAGCAGTCCTACGGTGTGGGCATAAGAATGCAAACATGCACACACACACACACACACACACACAGACATACAGACACGCTAGAAATGGAGAATCAGTGTTTATCTCGCACCTTAACTCCCAAAGAATTTTAACCCTTAAGTCCCAATGCCAAACAATCCACATATCTTCAAGTCCCATTAGAAACCAAGAAGTTAGCCTCCCTCACCTGTCAGGAACATCAGGGACAAGGACAGGTGAGGGATGAGAGGCAGCTCCATGCCTGCTTGTCCTGTCCGTGTGAGAAGTCCTCTGTGCCTCTGTCCCTCTCCTTTTCTGTTTTCTTTAGTTTCCCTCCCATCCTGCCCCCTCCCACTGCCAGCTAAAAATAAAGTGGGAAGGAATGGGAGGAGTGATGGTGGGGAGCTGTGGGGAGCCCCACAGAGGAAAGGACTGAGTGATCTTCGTCTAGTTCTCTGCCTTGGTGCTGCCCCCTGGAGGCGTCATGTCAATATCCAAAGAGAACACAGCTGGAGACTCTGCTGTTTCTCTCAATTTTTCTATCCTGAGTTGTTTCCAGACAATAATGTTTTCTTTGGGTTTGGGATAAAAAGTAGGAGTGGGAGATGGATACTTTTTACCTCCTAACCTTATTAATCTCAACCTGAGATATAAAAAATAATTGATAACAGTGGCTTTATTTACCCAGCCACCAAGGGGAGTCCCAACATGTGAAAACACAACCAGCCCAGTCCACTTAGTTCTGCTTGTGACTCTTAGCCTGTGCTGCCTTGTGGCATTATAGTTTTTGGAGGGACTATAAACTGCTATGGCATGTGCTTTGTGGAACTAGTATAATTACTTTAACTTTAGACTCACATCTTCTCAACTAGGCTATAAACATCTGATGCTGGGACCAAGTAGTTAAGCTTACTGTTTCTCTACCACCTAGTATTATGCCCTGCACAGTTTAGTGCTCAATACGAGTCTGCGGGTGATGATCCAGCGGCTAATACCATGAAAAATCCAAACCCTAGTGACAGAAATGGGGGCTTCAGATGACAAGAACACACAGGACCAGACCAAACATCAATGAGCAATCAGATATTTAATGTGTGACCTAGAAGGTTTGCTCTCCATCGTGGGCATGGGCCCTAATTATTTACACAGAATCATTGTACAATATTTACAGCAAGATGTCAGGCATGGCATCACTCTGGACAGGCAAAGAGGGGATAAGAACAAGCTATGAACAAAGCCCCCAAATCAAAGCACAAGCAGAAGCCTGCCAATGTGAGAAGGAAGCGGAAGGCCAAATGAGGGAGGGTGGTGAGGTAGACACGAGGGAGGACAAGGAACCATCGAGTCACTTCTGGGGCACAAGGGGAGTCCACTAGGACAAAAAGTCTTTAAAATTATAATCTGGAGTCTGAAGGGGTAAAATCTGCCACAAGCCACCTCTGTGAGGAAAAAGAAGGCAGTTAGAATCTTACAGACCACACCTTTTGCCTCCCCTACTAAAAGGTAATTTTGCTGCTGATTAAATTCCTAGGACAGGGGGCTGAGAAGGGAAAAAAAAAGACAATCTCTTTTTTAACCTCACCCAAGGATATTTTTTTTCATCACTTTTGAGAGAGAGTGGAAGGGGGGGGAGGGGGATAGAAACATCGATGTGAGAGAGACACATGGATTGGTTGCCCCCTGCTCGTGTGCTGACTGGGCCAGGGACTGAGCCTGCAACTGAGGTACGTGCCCTTGGCCAGAATCGAACCTAGGACCCTTCAGTCCACAGGCCGACGCTCTAACCACTGAGCCAAGCTGGCTAGGGTGAGACAGAATCTTAAATAGACTTAAGAGAGACAAAGTAAAAAGAGTCAGGAGAGACAGACAATGCAATGAAGGAGGCAAAGACCAAAAGCTCCAACAAATCTGAACATGAGAATCATACTAGTGACTACACAAGTCACCTTTCCTCATCTCATCTTCCCCAAAGCTCCTCCCTCCACCCCTAAATCTCTGGATTTTAACTTTAACGAAGGAGTAGAATTAGGATGAGGCTGGTATATTGGGGACAATCTAAGATTCCATCTTACCAATTCAGTTCCCCTCCTTATCCTGTACCAGTATATCAGGGCTTGAGTCGTAGCCAAGGGCAGACTAGGGTGAGAATAGACAGGATGGAGGACACAAGGCCGCAAAGCCCCACAACTCCAGGACCACAACGCCAGAGGCCTAGTTTGTCCAGTGGAATGAAGAGATCACAGGCATTTCTGACTACATCCAGCAGGAGCGGGGGATGACCACGAAGGACCCGAGCCAGGAGCAGGACTCGGAGCTGAAGCTTCAGAGCTACTTGGGGCAGGCCTCCTCCTGAAGTCCCTGTACCCCCAGCTCCCCCAGTTTCAATTCCTCCTGGGGCTCCTGCTCCAGAACCCTTCTGTCGCCGGCTATAAACTGAAGACTCTTGTTCCATCAGTAGGCGAATCTCATAAGCATCACGGCTCAAATTCATGATGAGGGAAAACAGATAGTACCTGAGATACACAGGACAGAAGGGTGAGTAAGGGTGCCTATACCCACTTAGCATATCCAACAGAACAAACATGTTTTTCCCTGCCAAAATGCAAAGGATTGCAATTCAGAACACCAGAAGTGAATGCTAGTACCCACTATTAGAAATGTACTCCACCTTTTTGTAACTAACATGTTTACATGTACCTTAAGATCCTGGCTTAAAATTCATGAGGATCATCAAATCTTCCAAGATCAACCTCAAATTTCACTTTTCCACTTGGCAACACATTAACACATACACATTTGACTTGAACTACAGTAATACATACTTGTTTTAAAAGAAGCTTCAGTTGCTTCAGAGTTAAATTATAAATAGTTTTAAGTCCAATCCTTTGCCTGGGGGGGCACCGCTCAGTGGTTAGAGCACTGGCCTGCGCACTGGAGGTTAGTGTGTTCAATTCCAGGTCAATGGCACATATCTGGGTTTCAGGTTCAATCCCCGCCCTGGGTCAGGGTGAGTGCAGGAGGCAACCAATTGATGTCTCTCTCACATTGATGTTTCTCTCTCTTTCTCTCTCCCACTTCCAGTCTTTCTAAAAATCAATGGAAAAATATCTTCACTCCTCAGATGAGGATAAAAAAATAAAAATAATTAAAAATAAATAAATCCAATCCTCTTGTTTAAAAAAAAGGAGGCCCAGAGGTGTTAAGCAGCTTGTCAAATGTGTTCAATTATAAATTGCTTAAGAACAGTCTGTTTTTTATTTTTTAAATGTTTTTATTAATTTCAGAGAGATGGGAGAGAGAGAGAAATACCTATGATGAGAGTCACTGATCGGCTGTATCCTACACGCCCCCTACTGGGGATCGAGCCCGAAACCCAACCCGGGCATGTGCCCTGACCAGACCCGGAATCGAAACATGAATTCCTGGTTCATAGGTCGACACTCAAACACTGAGCCACGTGGGCTGGGCTATGTTTTTGATTTTTAATCGACTCTCACAACAGTGGTCTGACATAATATAATTGTCCTATCTCCAAAACACATCCTGAATCTAAGCACATCTATTACACTCCACCTCCCCAGTCTGAGCCACTATCATCTCTTGCTTGAACTACTACTTTAGTCTTCTAACTTACCCTCCATGGTCACGCTTGACCCTTTTCCCCAACAATCTCATTTTATATACTACCTGGCATAAACTCCTCTTCTTAAAACTCTTCATGGTTTCCTTCATGTCACATTTAGAATAAAATTTAGATAACTTAGCCAGGCTTACAGACCTCAACATCTGACCCTACCTCTCTAACTCCACATCATGCTACTCTGTCAATCACTATGCTTCAAACACATCTGTTTCTTTCTATATTTTCATCCCATCAAGCTTGTTTCTGCTTTAGGACCTTTACACTACGGAGTCCCTCTACTAGAATATCCTGCCTCTAAAATCTTCACATGGCTGGCTATTTCTTGCTCTCTGGGTCTGAGCTTGGTTCTACAGAGGCCTTCTCAGATCCCCTATTCTAAAGTAGCAAGCCCTTTACTCTCTACCACATAACCCTATTTTAATTTCCTGCATAGCACTTACTACTATCTGACATTTTTATTTATTCTTTATGTTCGTCTCCTCCCATTACAGTGTAAGCTCCATAGGAGCAGGGACCTGGTTTGTCTTTACCACTGTATCCCTATGTCTAGACCAGTGCCTGCATATAGTAAGAGCCTGATAAATATTTGTTGAATGAAATGAATAAACATGGCATATAAACTGTTCTAATTGCTTTTTCATACTACTTCAATCATGCCTCTGTCCACAGCCCTCATACATCACATGCTATGTTATAGCTGTAAATCACTGAGAAAGACAAAAAGAAAAACAACACATAAATGGAGATACAAAGATGCTAACTAATATAATCTAAAAGAACAAAGAGAATCATAGCAAGACAAAAAACAAATACACATGATATGTATAAAGATAATTTTATTCCAAAATAATATTTCTCTCCACCTTCATTACCAGCCAGCTCTTTAGTCCAAGTCAACATTATCTCTTGGCCATATTACGGCATCTCTTCCTCTTTTACCCTACTGCAGTCTACTTTCCACTGGAGCAAGAGAGATCTTCTTTAAACACAATTTGAATCATGTCACATCCCTACTCAGAACCTATTGTACTTAGGATAAAAATTTTTATTTTTTTAAAAATTTATTTTAGGGAGAGAGAAAAAGAGAGAGAAATATCAATCGGCTCTCGCACACGCCCCAGCCAGGGATCAAGCCCAAAACCTAGGTGTGTGCCCTGACCAGGAATCGAACCAACCACCCTTTGCTGTATGGGACAGCACGACGCTCCGACCAACTGTGCCACACCAGCCAAGGCTAGGATAAAAAATTTCAAAAAACTAAACAAAGAGCACAGCCGGCCTGGCTCTGTGGTTGAGCACTGACCTATGATCCAGGAGATCCTGGTTCGATTCCTAGTCAGGGCACATGCCCAGGTTGTGGGCTTGATCTCCAGTAGGGGGCGTGCAGGAGGCGGCTGGTCAATGACTCTCATCATTGATGTTTCTCTCTTTCTATCTCCCTCTCCCTTCCTCTCTCTGAAATCAATAAAGACATATTTTTTAAAAAAACTAAACAAAAAAATCTTATCATTGCCTAAAAGGCCTTTCATGAGCAATTGGACAGTCTACTTCTCCATTTGAACGTATGCCCTTTACTCAGCACTACCCATTACACTGGCTTTCTATCTATTTTTCTAATTCCCCAAAGTCTTTCTTGGTTCAAGGCCCTAGAACATGTTATTTTCTGTTTGAAAAGGTCTTCTCTGCTACTGTTTGCTTTGTCTAACTTCTACTCAAATTTCAGGTCTGAACTAAAATATGACTTTTCTCAACAAGTTCTTTCCTGATCTATGTAAATTAGCTCCTCTTGCCCAGCCAGTGTGGCTCAGCAGTTGAGCATAGACCTATGATCCAGGAGATCGCTGTACAATTCACCAGTCAGGGCACATGCCCCACCTGCAGGCTCGGTTCCCAGTAGGGGGTGTGCAGGAGGCAGTTGATTAATGACCCGCTCATCATTAATGTTTCTCTCTCTCTCTCTGTCTCTCTCTCTCTCCCCCGCCTTCCTCTCTCTGAAATCAATAAGGACATATTTAAAAACAAATAAATAAGTAAATTAGCTCCTCTTTTTATATATGTCATAACACCCTGTACTTTCCCACAAATACTTGGTTTGGTGTTTATTTTCATATATGACTACCCACTAGACTAGAAGCTTCACGAGGGCAGGACTCATATCTGTTTGGCTCTCTGCTTTATTCCCTGGACCACAGTAAGCACCTACTAAGTATTTTTAGAATGACTGCATGAGCAGGCAGCGAGGGGCATAACCTATGGCAGTGATTTTCAACTGGTGTGCTGCAAGAATTTTTAAAGCATGCAATATCTGAGTGTTTAGTCAGGGGCACTGACCTCTTTTCCCTTAGATTGTCAAATTAAAAAACGACAGGGGCCAACACAATAGCCATCTGGTGTCAATGAATCAAAATTACACCTATGTTTTTTGTCAGACTGGAAAAATCTATATTTTTGGGTGCGCCAGAGAACTTTAGTAATTAGTTTATGTGCCATGAGATGAAAAAGGTTGAAAATCACTGACTTATGGTATAGAAAGAAGCAGAATTAAGGCAATATAACACTTTTCCCAATCTTAGTTATTCATTAAGGAAGAGCATTTGATCTCCACCTGCCTCCATTCCTTATTCTCTGATAGCTCCAGATCTAAGTGACGATTAGAAGCCCAGTGACTGAGTAAGACGTGCACACTCTGGGAAGACCCTGAGAGGCTTTCCTCTCATGCAAGGCAAGCTATGCAGTATGAAGAGCACAAAAGGTCTTGTAGAGTAAAAGGATTTCAAACCTGAATGACCGCTGGGCCCACTTCTCCTGATCCACACGGGGAGCTAATCCAGACTTTCCAGCCCACAGGACATTGTCGCAGGCGAAGTACAAGGCTCGATTGAGGTGACTAACAGTGATGCAGAACCTTAGGACAACATCTGAGAGGTGCACAGCTCGTTTGGCCGACTCAAGGGCATCTGCTGAGTTGCCCAGGCGTAGAACTTGTGGGGATCAGCGGGAGACGGCAAAGATTTGGAAGTAGAGAGGCAGAGAGCAAAACACAGAGAAAGAGAAAGAGGGTGAAAGTTGAGCAAGTGACAGAAACAATAACAATTTTTAAAAAGAGCAGAAACAGTTCATTCTTTTTTACTTCCAGTGTTAATTAACTTGCGTCCCGCTTTACTTCCCTCAAACTTGCCCGTCCCGCCCGCTCCGCCGCTGCCTCTCAGTCGGGAGGACGCGGAGCACAAAGCGAAGCCGAGCGCGGGAACCGCGGGCCGCAGAAGCAGGGAGGGGGCTGCGGGACGGGCGGGCGTGGGGCGAGCTGGGCCATAAAGCGGAGCGTGACTTACGCTTTCTTCCCAGGCTCAGATGGCCCTCCAGCTGCCGGATCTGTCGCTGTAACTCAGGACTGGCGCCCCGTTTCTGCAGCGCGTGGCCGAGCAGGGAGCAGGCGTACTGCGCGGCCCTGGGGAGACAGGCAAGCACAGGCCGAGGCCTCCCTGACGCCCCCCGCACTGCGCCCTCCCAGGGGCGAGCGCCGACCGCCCCTTCCCCCGGCTGCGACCCTTCCCTTCCCCGCTCTTCACTCCACGGCTCCCCGCGTCCCCCTCAGGCCAGGGTGAGGGAAAGGCTCAGGGAGAAGAGGAGCCGAGGAGGGCTGGGGAGCACTGCGCGG